ACTCTTTCACTCTTGCGGATTTTTCCTGAGTTCCAACATTTCTTAAAAACCTCAAGAGGCCATCTTCTCGGCCAACTCTTTTAGAACTTCTGGAGTCTACCTGTCTGGCTAAATGATTTTAAAAAAATGATTTTGGATTTCTAGCATCCTCCTTAGTTATTAGGGAACAGGAAAGTACTTCATCATCCTCACTGGATGCAACTACATCATCCTATTTTTTTTTAACCAAATACAGGCCTTTAATATGGAATGACCTCAACCTTCCTTTTTTCTGTCATTATTAACTTTTACCATTCCTACCTAGCCGTTAGCCTATACCATTGTTTTGATTTCTTTTATTCCTACTATGGTTACAAATTCCATCTTGCAAGAGTGATTCATAAAACTTAAAATTTAATCAGCATATCACCCATCTAAAGTGAGAGTGTTTCATTACTCTCTTTTTTAAGCAGCATGGAGAAAATAAAGCGGTGGTTTTCAACCATGTTAGACTCAGGGCACCCCATGGAAAATGCCAGCTCTTAGCTTTCACTCATTTTTGGACAAGAGAAAAGTAATAGAGCAATTTTTCTGTTCCAATGAACACCACAACAGGTCAGAATGTCTATAAAAACCACCCTATGGATTTCTAATGGAAATCTTTTGGGTTATTTTGTGAATCACATTTGCATACCTAACAGTGCTAACATTGCATGTCACCCTTGAAAGGATCTCAAGGCACCAGGCTGGGAATCACTGAATTACATTTGTATGTCTAGTATGCAGTGTCCGGGGCCAGATCTTTTCAGGGTACTTAGCATGACAGATCGTCAAAGCATAGTTTTCCCCTTCAGGTGCAGTTCAGTTCAGTTCTCTGCAAATCAGACTCCAGAGTCTGAAGTTGAGCACCCTGAACGTGAAGATGACCACAAAGATTGGTTTAAATCTGCAGCAAGGGCAAGGATAGAACCCTTACCTCACATTTGATGTGACCCGCCTCCAAAAACCCAGCCTTTCATTTGGGATGCATCCACCCTGGGTTTGAGGAATATCCTCTCCAATGAGGAAGAAAGGGTCTGAAATAAAGAAAATGTTTTCAAATATATATAAATATATGTATATTTGGGAGTCGAACTCGATCTACTGAGGTCCCTTCCGACCCCAACGTCTATGAATCTATAAAACAGCAGCTACATCAAAGACGAAATGGGAAGCTTTTAAGCAGTCATAATAAAGAGGATAGCATAGAAAATTAAGGCAATCTAATTTACAGTTGTTTTATATCAGTGGAGCACTATTCATCTTAATGGGGTTACTCCTAATTTATACCTGTCTAAGCAAGATTAGGATTAATCCATTAGAGTTAATTTTGTCTTTAGGCTAGTTTATGATGTGTAGCCCATTTGCCATTTCTTTCACGCAACGCTGTTCACTACCACTTGGCAGTGGATTCAGTTTGAGACAACTGCACTCTTGCTTTGGTAACCTACCATACGATAGGACAACAAATCAGGAATCACAGCACAAGAGTCAGTGCATTCAAGGAGTTATTCTGCTTCTGTCTTCACAGATGAACTGGGTGAAGAGCCAGAGACAACAGAGGAAGAAGGTATTAAGGCAGAGTTAGTTATAAAGAAAAGAGGTGTACTGAAATCCTAGATGAGGTATATCTCCAACCTGCTTTTCAAAGACCAGCACGATTTGGATCAGAAGTAAAACAACAGGACTCTTTTTGTCTTCAATGGGTTTTCAATCAGGCCCCATAAACATCAACAGGGAACCCTTGATCCTAAGCAACTTTTCTTAAAGTTTAGAGAAGATTCAAATTCAAAGGATCTCACAGCATCCCAGGGAGCCCTGGGCCCTGGGTTGAGAATCACTGCATGTTTCCAGCCAGCCTGACTTTTGGGTCAGGTCAAATCTGGGGGGTGGTGAAGCACTGGAACAGGTTACCCAGAGAGGTGGTGCAATCTCCATCCTTGGAGGTTTTTAAAACCAGGCTTGACAAAGCCCTGGCTGGGATGATCTAGTTGGGGCTGTTCCTGCTTTGAGCAGGGGGTTGCACTAGATGTGACCTCCTGAGGTCCCTCCTAACCCTCATTTTCTATGATTCTGATTCTTAAGATTGGGATGTGGCAAACATTTGTGATGCATTATAAAGTGTTAGGACTGTATGCCATCAATCTCCACTCTTGCAAAATGGTAAACATGCTAATACATTGCACCTTTTCTCTTCCAGGTGGCCTGGGAACAGCTGCACTAGTTGGAATCATAATTGGCATCATAGTAGCAGTTGGAATCATTGCTGGAATCATTATTGCTGTTGTGAGGAAAATGTCGGGCAGGTACTCGTAAGTAAAATACTACAAGCCAAGCTGTGTGGCTAGATGCTGTTGTACCTCCAGTTGTGCTTCTACCAACAATGGACAGACTCCATAAAGGGCTGAATTCAACATCTAATAGAGTCTTTCCATTACTTTCAGTTGGTTCATGCAGATTGGTTCCTTATAGGGAGTGAACCTAATGAGTCAAATAATTTATTTGATCTCTAGTGGAGTCTGGAAAACATATAAGAAGTCAGGCATAGGATTTTTAACATTTCCATTTTTGGACTCAGGCAGACACATATTGAGTATGCCCATTATGATGACATGTAGTGCATAATGCAAGTGAAGTGGGGGAAAGAATACCCAAATGTTATCAAAGTTTGATCAGCTTTCTATCTCAAACATCAAATAGCTCCTTTCATTTACTAGTGTGGTTGAGGTTGTGGGACATCGGTTCCTACCCTGCTGCTGCCCAATCAAGCTCATCCCTTGCTAGATTTAAGGTATCCCTTGAAAAATGCCAGCTCTTAGCTTTCACTCATTTCCTGACTACAGAAACATAACAGAGCAATTCTTCAGTTGCAAAGAACTCAGAAAGAGCGT